AATTCTCCCAAAGGGCATTACACAAATTTGTCTCACTAGCTGTCCGTCATCTTATAGCCCTAGATTGGACTCACCATCCATACAAAAAATGAAAGACAGGGTGGACTTATGCCACAGCATGGAGCTTATGGGGACACAAAACGTTAGACAGAGGCACGTGCTAGACAAAATATGGTTACCATGGGAGGAACACAAAAGAAAACTTATACCAATCCAAAAAAAAAAGTTTATTTCTTTTTTATTTAATAAATTTCATTATGACGGGAGTTTTTAAGATAGCAGATTTTAAAAATAAAAGCCACATTTTGTGGCTTTCATATACTAAATCAGAATCACATTACAGAGGTTTATCTTCATTTTGAAAGAAAGAAAAAAAGTTCCACTCCAAATGGTGCTTCCAGTAGAATTTCTCTGTTCGTGCTCCTACATCAAGTTACATGGTTTTTCCTCTTTTACAGATGAAATAAGAGAATAGAAGTCGATTAAGAGGAGGGACCAGTGGATCATCTCTATTCTATTCTCAGGGATTTTTTCTAATCCTAAACTAGAAAGCATGGCTTTTTATTGAAATGTCAATGTAAAGCCCAACTTAATTGAAACCGACAGTAATAGACTAGCTTTTCAGAGAAGGTAAAACCAAGTTATTTTTAGAACATCAACTGCAGAAGAAGAAGAAAAAAAATATTGAAATGCATGTGAAAGCAAATGCTGGCCTAGAAATCTGATTCAATAAAACCAGATAAAGTGTATTCGGGATTACTTCCATTAAAGAATGCTAAACTGTAACTAAATATATAGGAAAAACAATTGTTTTTCCAAACCCCACACACAAAAAATGGTCTTTTTTGTTTTTTTTGATAGAAAAGAATAAATCCTTAAATGGCTTTAGTAAAACACATTATTTTCCCCTTGAATATGTATATTTACAAGAGACACTCTAAACAACTAAACAACTCCAGCTTAATGAAATGATTTTGATGTATAAATCATGCACCTGCAATTTAACTACTCAGTTCTCTGCCGTTTAAACGTTAAATAGCTTTTGTTTGTAGTCCTAGCCACACCTCCCCTGGCTGAGACACGCACACCCTACACACTGCCTGAAAAAGCTTTCCTTCTTTCCACAATGTATTTAAAGGGACATTATAGTCACCAGAACAACTAGAACTTATTGTATTTGTTCTGGTGAGTATAATTATTTTTTCTTCAGAGAAAATGCAGTGTTCACTTTACAGCCTAATGATAACTACAGTGGCCACTCCTCAGATGGCTACTAAAGGTGCTTCCTGGGGCACATTCAGTGAAGTGGTCTGGGTGTCAGGTCCCTCAGGTTTTAACCCTTCAGATACAAACATAGCAGTTTCAGAGAAACTGCTTTGTTTACATTTGGGCTTAAGCCAGCCTCTAGTGGCTGTCTTCCGGACAGCCACTAGAGGCGCATCTGCGACGCTGTAGGCATATTATGCCTCCATCGGGCAGAGCGTCTATAGGACACTTTGAATGCGCGCGTGGCACTTGCCGTGCATGCGCATTCAGCCCTCTGACATCGGTGGGGGAGGAGAGGTCACCATTGACGACAGAGCCCGGTGCTGGAATAAGGTAAGCTGCAGATGGGGTTTACCCACGGGAGGAGGACCCTGAGGGTGGGGGCACCCTCAGGGCACTATAGTGTCAGGAAAACCGCTTTGTTTTCCTGACACTATAGTGATCCTTTAATGTTGGATAGTTAAGTTATTTGAAAAAGAATAATAAATATGCTAAAGCATGGAATTTTACAACTTAATTACTCTTAATCTGTGACATTAGAAGGGATTGGTCTACTTGGAATAGCGTTGGGCCACACCCAAAACTTGAATGCACATTAGACTGACTGATAGTCTCTCTAATCAACCCAAATCAGGGCTTATTTTGTCAATGTCCTCAGATTACTCTGCACAGTGAATGTTCGTGCGTCTCATCCACTTGCTAAGAATCTTTCCCTAATGTCCCCAGAAGAGCAAACCCATGTTATAATTACTTTTCCTCTATATTTAGCAAATATATATATATATATATATATTGGCTAGGTGTGGAAGTAAAATTAAATATAGAAACCAACACTTATTTAGCTTGAAACTGGTCTCCAGCATCTTAGCTCTCTGTCAATCATTGTTTTTGCATAGAAAAAGCATACGAATGTGCCTCTACTGTGCCTGGATGGAACAAAAACTTTTGATGTTCTTTATTACATATTTTAAAGTAAATGGTAATTCAATTTCTTTTTTTTTAAATGACAAATCACATTAAAAAAATAGTCTGACACAATTTATAAGTGTTTATTTTTATTGTTTTATTTAATGGTATGACGTTCAGATAAATTAAGATCAGTCTTTAAACTATTGTACAATATTATTTTTATTTTTTTCCTCAGACATTTTTATTCAGTTCAGTATATTACAAACAAGGCAACTGAATTTTGCAAATTGTAATGTTCTTTTATTTTTTTCTTCTTCTAGGCCTATGTCAGTGCGAAACACCAAGATGATAAGATTATTGCATTTGAAAGGGGAAATCTTCTCTTCATCTTTAATTTTCATCCATACAAAAGCTTCACCGGATACAGAGTAGCTGTAAACTCACCAGGGAAATATCCTTTCATAAATATTAACCTAGGCTGCGTTCAATATTTTTTGTAGTCTTGAAACTTTACGTTTATCAAAAAAGAAAAAAACAACGGAGCTTTGATTGTTGGGTGATGTTATCAAAAAAGAGTTGAAAAATGTTTTTATTTGCAAAAGTTTATTTTATGCTAAGAGTTTAATCAGTCTTACCCTTTCACAAACAGTAAGTCAGGGTAGCCTTAAAGTAGTCAAAGTATCATATGAGTTGAAATTTGACAACATTTGGAGGTCTACCATTGAGCCACCCTGTAGTAAACTAAATATACCAAACAACAGAATAAATGTGTGAAAAATACCTGAGCTGGTTGGAAGCCTAGCACACAAACAGTTTCCTTACTTTTATCCTACTGCATGATCAAGACCTAATGATCAGAACCTATTAAGTTTGTCTTCACCCCCTTATTTCACTTTTCAAATATGTGATTACTCGAAGAAGTAAGGTCATCAGATACTGTCAATATTTCTATATACTTGTCACTCACTAATATCATGAGAGAAAGATAATGAGATGAAACAAATGAGGTAGTTACACGGTAAGTCAGATATGTAATGGGTGGTTATTTAAATTGGCTGATTGGTAATTTGTAAATGCTTTTATTTATCACGATTCTTGTAATTTTGGTCTTGAAGAATATTTAGCTATTCCTCATTCAATACCATAATGTGCTGCATGTACAATTTATACTTCTGCGATCGTATGAGATGGTGAGCAACTAAATTTCTCCAAAGAAAACATAATCCCACAAGAGTTTGGTTATAGAAAGCTTGAATACAAAATATTAATTTGCCTTATGTGAATAACCTGGGATATCAACTTTTCAAAATTATGTATACTTAGGCTAGCTTGAAATAGTGAGCTTCTGACGGAGACCAGGTCCTATTTAAGAAGAAACATCAGTTCTGCCACTGTTTCACAATCATTATTGGATGTATCTATATTATGACAATACATACTATGTAATTCAGGAAAATAATGCCATCAAGAAGTTTTTGCAATTTTATAATAAACCAGGAGACAGATGTTTGAGTGGTTTATAAATGAGATCATCAATCCTATGCCATCATATAGGAAACCATATGATTGAAATAGCTGAGTTTCTCTTGGCTATTTCTATAGAAGCGCCTATTATGACGGTCAGTATGAAAGCCACTAGAAGCATTTAAACCATGCAATGGAAATATTGCCATTCTGATGGAACAGCAATGTTTTACATTGCAGGGTTAAAACAAGATTGAAACGGCAGCCAGGCCATTATATTAAGAGGAATTGGTCTGGGTGCATGTTGTGTCCCTTTAAGAGGTTAAAGGGAGGACTTAAATGTTTGGATATTTGGGCATACATGTCTCGGTACCTCAACCTATTTTAGCCACAGACATTAATTTAAATACTGGGCTGAATTAAAATATCATTTACTTCTTGGGAGTTTAACATATGTAAATGTATAGGAGTTTGTGCGCGTGTGTGTATATATATATATATATATATATGTGTGTGTGTGTGTGTGTATATATATATATATCTACACTCATACCCTTATATGAATAGTCAAATGTGTAGTAAAATGCCAAAGAAATTCTTTTCAACATCAAAAAGTCCTGTTCTTGGGGTTAACTGTTAACTGCTCTGATTCTTAAATGGATGCTGTTTCTTCAAGTAGTATCCTGATTTTACATAATTCTAACTGACTGCAAGCACGTCAAACAATGAATAAGGTTACTTCTTCATTCATTCTACTGTTTATTTGCACTTATTTATGAAAAAAAAAATATATATATATATATATATGTTGTGTGTTTCTGGAATGGCATATTTATGTTATTCTATGGGGTACTTCTAAGACACTGAAATGTATTTGCATAGTTTTTGTAAATACATGGAATGTAGTCATAATTGGCAGCCTCGCGTTTTAAGAACGATTAGGCGGAAGTTGGCATGACCTAAATTTTTAGACCTGTTATTCAGATGTTGCCGGATCTGCATTTTAAATGTAAAGTTTGTCTCGTTGACATTTTCAACCTGGCCCTACATCTTCTAATGAGGAAATAAGGTCATTTGAATGAGTCACTAGAGTGTAGTTGCGGAAGACAGCTTATGTAACTGTCATACTCCATTACAATAAGTGTATTTTCATACCTTACAAAAGCACAGTGCATCTCTATGTCATATTCATATAGCAATGGATTTATTTTGCATTTGCACTACCTATGAATGCTTTTTCTTATTCATGGAGAAATGTTGCATGTCACGGAAGAGCTAGGCTGTCAAATATTAGTCCATCCTTAGCATAGCATTAACTTCTTCTTTATGGATATATGCGCTAGAAACTGGATACAGGAGTTGCAGTCTGTAAGCTGTCTTCTGAATTATCATTTGTTAGTCGCAGTTCTCAATTATGTACATAACTTTTTGAATCTTTGCAGCTGAAGGAACAGCAGTACATAGAAACAGGTGCTGTGCCTGCACCCAGCATTCTCTGTTTTCAAGTTCTACAGTGCATTTATCTGTGATCGAGAGAACTCAAATGATTTGTCTGTAGCTTATTTATCATATTACCCAGATAACTAAAAGTAGCCAACTAGATGCGTTATTTTATTTGTTTATTTATTTATGGGGTTATTCACTAAACACTGGATTTTGTCTGGTTTGACTCTGTTCTCACAATGGAAGCGTATTTAGTGGCTGTCAGGTAGATGGTCACTACAGGTCTGTTTAATCTTTTAATTTAAACATTGCCTTATCTACTAAACCTGCTGCACCCAGACCCTTTTATGGAGATGAAGTAGTCTGGATGCCAGTGAGGTCCATGCTTGGTTTATACAGCTTATTTTGCAGTATGACTTTATTGTATCTGTCTTGACTGTTATGCACTCAGCCTCACAGATCAGCAGTTTGAGATTTGTTGGTAGTTTTCATACATTTCAGAGAGGTGTAAAACGAGAAAATATATTTTTTGTATACTTCCTTTAAAGACATTTACTGGCATGCAAACCTGATTTTTGCATACAAGCAAATAGTATACATGAAGATTTCCTTTGAGAGCACAGCATAATAACTTACTTGGAATGTAGTTGTTATGGTGAAAGAAGGTTCCCAGGTGATGACTTATCTCAAAGGGTTAAACCATTAACAAGCAATTTTACCCCAAAGTTTTGAATGCCATTGAAAATCAGGTTTATTGTCAAAATTTTGCATTGAACAAATCAAACAAAAGTACTGTAATTTAAATAGCTCCACACAACAAATGCTTTAAGTTGTTTCCCCAAATTTAACTGAATTATTCAACCCCTTTATGGCAATCATCTTTAGTACTTAGTAGAGCACCCTTTAGCTGTTATGTCCTGCTGCAAATGATATGTATAGCCAGACGCCAGCTTCTGGCAGCGTTCCTGAGGAATCTTAAAGGGACACTATAGTCACCTGAACAACTACAGCTTAATGTATTCGTTCAGGTGAGATCTATAGCTCCCTGTAGGCAATTTCTCTGAAAATACAGTGTTTACATTGATTGATAGGAATACCTCCAGTGGCCGTCACTCAGACGGCCACCAGAGGGACTTCCTATCATGTAGGGCCCTAAAAAGGCCTTGTACACGTCAGACGTATAAAGATACGTCTGACGTGTGCAGGAGAGAGAAGGCACTGTGTGCGCGCCTTCTCTCTCCTGTCTGACAGCGTGCGCGGTAGTGCGCTCAGGACTTCAGAGGGCGGCATATGAAGTATGTGCGCATGTGCGGCGAAGCAGCACAAGGGAGCAATGACGCTTCCAAATGGAAGCGTCTGATTGCTCCCTGCTCATGCCCGCCTATTTTGACATTTTGATGAAATAGGGGGCACGGCTTCACAAGGCTCCCGGCGCTGGATCCAGGTGAGTAAACTACTCTGCCTGGAGAGTCCCTTTAAACCATTGCTCATAAGCAATGGCCTCCATTTCAATAATATTCTTTGGTTTGCGTGCTGCAAACACATTCTTCAAATCCCACCAGATATTTTCTGTAGGGTTCAAGTCAGGTGACTGTGATGGCCTTTGTAGAATTTTCCAGGACTACTTCTGCAACCAAGCCTTGGTGGAATTTAAGGAATGCTTTGGATCACTGACTTGTTGGAAGGTCCAATGATGCCCAAGCTTTAGCTTCCTCAGATGGCGTGATGTTTTCTCCTGATACTTTTAATGAATCCATCTTGCTTTCCACATGCTGCAGTTTTCCAGTGCAAGAGGATGCAAAGCAGCCCCAGAGCATCACCAAGCCAGCACCATGCTTAATTGTAGGCAGAGTGTTCTTTTCAGCATATGCTTCATTCGTCTTCCTCCAGACACACTACTGATCCATTTGGTCTAAAAACTGTTTTGTTTTTATCGCTCCACAAAACAAAGTCCCAAAATGCATATGGCTTATTTATATGATTTTAAGCATATTGGAGCCTACTTTTCTTGTGCTATTGGGTCAGTAGTGGTGTACATCTTGGAGTTCTTTGGAACTGGAAACCTTCTATGTTGTACCCACCTTACTCTGCTCCCTGAAACCTCAGCGCCTGTTGCCATCAAGTGTTGTTGCAGGACTTTTGCAGTCACTCAAGGATTTTTCACAACCTGCCTTCTCAGAAAACTGGTTGCAGCCATTGTAGCTTATTATTTTATGTCCAGGCAATGTAACCACTGTTGCTTCAACTTTGAACATGCAAACTATGCTTCCAACTTTATCTCTAGAAACATTCAGTGCATTCGCTATCTTTTTGTATCCTGTTCCATGTTTGTGAAGGGTGATGATCTCTTCTCTTAACTTTGTGGACCATTCTTTTCTATTTGTTTTCATTTCTAACATGCAGTCAAACGTGACACTCATTAAACCCCTAGCCAGTTCAGGTATTTCAGTTGTTCCAGCTCAAGCACACCTGGTTCAATTATTGAAGCCCTTAATTAGTTGCATTAAGTGTACTTTGGACAACAATTGTTTTGCATATTTGAGCTATTGTGAGGGCTTCTATGCAGGTGGGTGAATAATATTGAAACTGGAGAAGCCAATTTAAGATGTATTTTCACTTAAATTTGTGGAGAAGACTTGAAGCATTCTTTGTGTTGAACTATTTCAATTGCTTTTGTTTGATTTGTTTATTGCAAACAGCTGACATTATGTACATTTTGACAATAAACTTGATTTTCAATGTGGGTTGTATCATTTTGATTAAAACTGTATATGGTACTAAGGGATATAGGAATCTAAAATAGAAACTCTTTCAAAACCTTTCATTTGTGCAATTGAATACAAACTGCAAATACATCCATTATAAACAATACTTAATGTGGGGGGGATAAGTCCCAATATCCAAAATGGCCACAATAAAGGCTTCCTCGGTTGGCGGGTTAGAGGAGGGAATGTGACAGATTTGGAGTTGTTAATGTGATAGGGTAAGTGTGGCAGGGTGAAGGAGGTGAATGTGACAGAGGAAAAATGTGTCAGGGCTGGGGAGTGAGTGTGACAGTAGGAAAGAAGGTGAATGTTGTTACAGAGCAGTTGAGTGTGGTATGGTTGCAGGGGTGAGAGTGATAGGATTAGGAATGGTTAATGTAAGTGTGGCTGGGTGATTGGGGGTTGACCGCCGTGTGTGTGTGGGTGATTGACAACATTGTTTGGGGGGTGACTGTGTGTGTGGGGAGGATGACAGTGTTTGCATGAGAGAGGGTGACAGTGTGTGTGTGTGTGTGTGTGTGGGTAGAGTGACAGTTTGTGCTGTGAGGTAGCATTGTGTGGGGAGGCTGTGTTATAGTGACCAGCCACCCCACACTGAAATACCTTTTTGAAAGTAATAAATTCCCTGGTGATCCAGTGGACGGTAGCTTTGCTATCTGGTTTGCAGCTTCACCTGGTGCAGGCAGACTATGTTTTAGAGGTCTCTCAAGTCCGTCACTTGAAGTCTCAGAGTGTTGCTGTGGTAACCCGTAGCAATGTTCTGATTGACCAAGCTCGCATGACCTCTAACACATGGTCTGTACCTCTGCACACGGTGGAACTGCAGACCGGAGGGCATGCTGGACTCTCTCTCCCCCGGGCAGACTAAGTGCAGGGGCCCTCACCTGGCAGGATAATTAGAGAGTCATGTCTGACAGACACACACACGCACTAATTTCAAATATTCAGTGTACTTCCCGAGATTGGGTTCTGGATCCCACCCTCATGTAGACATCTTAAAAACGCATGACGGAAAGCTGGACTTTTACTTCTGAAGCTGTGTCTTTAAGGGGTTAAAGTGTTGTGTAGCTTTTAGCACATTAACATAGTGTTTTGTATGTTAATATTTTGTGATGCCAAGTACATCTTTCTGATTTATAGTGTGTTGTTTTGGGGTGGGAAAGAGCTTTCTATGTAAGTAGAGCCATGTTTTTATTTAGTGCTTTCATTAAGATGCAAGGGCAATTCGTTCATTCAATATGTCCACTGAGTATTATAACAACTATGATAAACCATGGAAGGAGATTTTCGGTACAGGTAACTTTCACGTTTTCATTACTAAATCTAAAATAATATATTATTATGAACACAAAGTTTTTATTGCAGGTCAGAAGGTTTTAATGTTACCAGACTTTTCTAAGACAGAACAAAGATGTCTCTTCATGAGGCTGTATCATTAGCTGAGCAAGGTCATCTTATTACTGCCGAACAGAGCATTGATGCATCACTCTGCATTATATTGCAGACTTTGTTAGCAAAGAGGCAAATTACATTTTAACTATGCCAGTTAATAACATACATAAACTTTAAACTATTGTAGATTTTCTATGGTTCGCATTTAATTGTGTTAAAAAACAAATTGATCTGTGTAGTGTAATTTGCATTCAGTTATTGTAAAACTTTAAGTTTCATTAAGCATCCATAGCATACAATGTATCATTTAGTTTGAACATTTGTATTCAAAATCTCTATATAGGCATTGTGCCTAAATAAGTAATTAACCTTCTAGATAATGCCATTCTAACAATTTCATCTGATGATGAGCATGAATCCTTTTGTTTTCCATGCACACATAGCAAGCGTTCTAAACTTCAAAGTTATTTAAATGCTTACTTTGCAGTCAATTAGCAGATTGTATACACCTTTTTTACACCTTTGTTATTAAATAGGTTATGCATTTCATCTTAAGGTAATTACTTTATTAAAAAGGTGAAATGTTTTTAAATGGTATCTGTCCTAGTGCACACAGCTGTGTTGTCCATAATAAAGAGCATAAAACAAAATTAACCCTCTGAATACATTACACTGGCCAATCACATAATATCTCACATCTCTGATTTGTCCGTTAATACTCTGCAAATCTGTGTATGTATTGGATTGACTGACAGGAGAGGAGAGGAGTAGAGAGCCCTCCACTATTTAGTTCTCCTGCTTGTATGCAACTTTCTTAGCAGAGCATTATCTGGAACAGAGTGATAGCTGTTAGTTAGTTTTTCCTCAAATGCACTGAAAATAAAACCAACCCATTGGCTATTGCTTTTCCTATGTGTAGCCAATCAGATAGGAGTTGGTGGTTACAACTTGGGTAAAACTCATAAGTCTAACATCATGGAGGCTATAACTCTTTTGTGAGGGAGTGGGTAAGTATTTTGAGTCAATCTAAGTTACTGGATATCATATTTAGCATATTTCAGGTAAATGGTATGATAATTTAGCACAAAAAAAATATTTATGTTGGCAACAAGATTGCACCTGTCATGACGTGTTAACCTTGAGATATTTCCTATGATGTGCCCATACCAAGTAAAAAGGGAAAGGCAAATGTATTATAAAACAGGGAGAACAAAATATATATTAAAATCACCACAACTACTTTTAAAACTCAAAGAAAGGTCCAAAATCAATATTTAAAAATTATCAGCATGCAGCTGTATGATTAGGTTTTCTATGCTTCTTGTTAATCATATCAGCAGATATTTGCTAAAATCATTGCATCTAATATTGTGCAAAAATATCTTGATGATTGTTGTACAATACTTTAATATGTGCATTGTCACATGCCTCTTTGGAAAAGGAATCCCCAGAGGTTTTAAAACTACAGTTTCCATGATGCTTTGTCCATCTAAACTAAAGGCATGTAAAGCGGGAACTGTAGTCTTACAACTTCTGGGGATCTACCTTTTGCCCCCCACCTCTCCACCTTAAAGTATCATGGCAATTCTGGTGATTTGATTTGTTTAAATTATACTGACAGAAGTTTTCTGATAAAAGTTGTGTGGAGAATATACCCATATTTTCTTGTGACAGTTTCTTATTTCTGTTTTCTTTGTTTACACTACAAGACTGATTTATAATTTTAAGACTAAGAAAGGGGCAGTTTTCTAGTATTCTCTTAACAGCCAATGACATTCCCCTATCTTGTATGCCAGTGAGGACCCCAGATAAGTGATACTTATTTTTCATCTGCGTTCTGCTTATTTTATTTTAATGTTTTTTTCATTACGTCAAGAAATACTGCAATCACTATTTTAATTAAGAAATCTTTCTGCAGTCATTAACTATACAATTAATATGGCAGATCATTACATTTTCACTTAGGCTTCTCAAAACCCTTAGTAAGCCTACTTTTTGCAAGTTTTTATGAGTTTTGTAAGGGTCACATAACAGCTTATTTTGTTTAATTTTGTCCATTGGCACTTTTCAAAGAGTAAAGATTTGCCTGGAATTTTAACATAGCATTAATATGGCTATCATTGATAAACGTGTGGCTTCACAAGATAAGGCTTTATTGATTTCCTTTATGTTTTCCACTGTTTCTAAGGTTGTTTAATTTGTTTTTCACTTGCTTTGCTGCTATAAGCAAACTTATATTTTGGAGTATTTTTGAGATTCTGGTTTTAAATTGATACATACTTTTAATATGTATCTTATTAACTAATCTTATTGATTTTTTTGATTGGGTAACTAAAATTATAGATCAGGGTGGTGCAGTAGACATTGCTTACCTAGATTTCAGTAAGGCTTTTGACACTGTTGCACATAGAAGGCTTATCAATAAACTGCAATCTTTAAGTTTGGATTCAAATATTGTTGAATGGGTAAGGCAGTGGCTGAGTGACAGGCAACAGAGGCTTGTAGTTAATGGAATATATTCGAAGCTTGGACTTGTCACCAGGGGGGTACCTCAGGGATCTGTACTTGGACCCATTCTCTTTAATATTTTTATTAGTGATATTGCAGAAGGTCTTGATGGTAAGGTATGTCTTTTTGCTGATGATACTAAGATATGTAACAGGGTTGATGTTCCAGGAGGGATAAGCCAAATGACAAATGATTTAGGTAAACTAGAAAAAATGGTCAGAATTGTGGCAACTGACATTTAATGTGGATAAGTGCAAGATAATGCATCTTGGACGTAAAAACCCAAGGGCAGAGTACAGAATATTTGATAGAGTCCCAACCTCAACATATGAGGAAAGGGATTTAGGGGTGATTATTTCAGATGACTTAAAGGTAGGCAGACAATGTAATAGAGCAGCAGGAAATGCTAGCAGAATGCTTGGTTGTATAGGGAGAGGTATTAGCAGTAGAAAGAGGAAGTGCTCATGCCATTGTACAGAACACTGGTGAGACCTCACTTGGAGTATTGTACACAGTACTGGAGACCGTATCTTCAGAAGGATAGTGATACCTTAGAGAGGGTTCAGAGAAGGGTTACTGAACTGGTTCATGGATTGCGGGATAAAACTTACCAGGAAAGGTTAAAGGATCTTAACATGTATAGCTTGGAGGAAAGACGAGACAGGGGGGATATGATAGAGAAATTTAAATATATAAAGGGAATCAACACAGTAAAGGAGGAGACTATATTTAAAAGACGAAAAACGACCACAACAAGAGGACATAGTCTTAAATTAGAGGGACAAAGGTTTAAAAATAATATCAGGAAGTATTACTTTACTGAGAGGGTAGTGGATGCATGGAATAGCCTTCCAGCTGAAGTGCTAGAGGTTAAGACAGTAAAGGAGTTTAAGCATGCGTGGGATAGGCATAAGGCTATCCTAACTATAAGATAAGACTAGGGACTAATGAAAGTATTTAGAAAATTGGGCAGACTAGATGGGCCGA